TGAGGTTAGCAATAATCTCTGTATTTTAAGCTTTCCATGTATTGCCCAACATATAAAAGTATTCAGTAAACATTACTGAATAAATGTATGCCTCTCTACCAATTGTTAGGGTTGTGCCGGGCATTTTTCTCCAGTATTTATTACCTTGCAGTTCTTTCTCTTTCATATCATGGATTGAACCCAGGGGTGCTTTACCACTGACCTATATCCTCAATCCTTTTTATTATTTATTTTGAGACAGGGTCTTGCTCAGTGGCTAAGGCCAGCCTTCAACTTGGTAATCCCCCTGCTTCAGCCTTCTGAGTAGTTGGGATTACAGGTATATGCCACCACACCTAGCTAAACCTATTTTTCTTTAAGATGATTACTGGATCAAAAGGTAGGAAGGATATACAATTTTTTCCCTTACTTTGTGATTATATGTATTTTTCCTGATTTTAAGAGAAGAACAGCTCATCTCTCTTTTGATGACTTCACTTTCTGATCCCTGAACCAGACTGAGAAGTTTCACTTAGCTCTTTCTCACTCCCAGACTCAATACAGAGGGTTAGTTCATCTCTTCATCTCTTTGGGTCACAAAGACTTGAACTGCAAATGAAGGTAGGGGTAGATGTTCATAAGGCACTACAGGATAATCTACCCTCATTCTTATGTCTCAGTCAAGCGCTTCCAGAAAATCATGTTGCTTCAATTGACTAGGTGTTTCACATCTTATTAAATGACTGTAAAGTGAAACCCTTCACCATTAATGTTTAATGAACATAAGGGAATACCAGACACAATTCATTTGTTAAACACCACCATTTGCAAAGAATTTTAAGTAGTTAACCTGGTCTTGGAGATAAAAGACAGATTTGCCTGATATGGTAATCAGGAATTTATTTTTTTTTCTGGGAAGGATGATTATGTACCTAGATACCTGTCATCCTCCTTTGTAGAGGAAATGAATGCTCACAGTAGGAAGACCAGTGATGGACCTGGGTGTTCAGAATTTCTTAATAGAAATGGAAAGTTGCATTTGAACAGAGATTCTGAACTTTCTAGCCACTTTTGCTATTTTTGAAAGGATAATTTTCTGTTATGGAGTGGCCATGCATTATAGGGCATTTATCTGTAGCCCTTATCTGTAACGACTAGGTTCCAGTAGTATTCTTTCCCCAGGTATTTACAGCCAAAGTATTTTTCAGTCTTTGCCAAATGTGCAATGGTGGTAAGAGCAAATTTCCCCCTGGTGAGAGCTAATGAGTTTATAGGTCTGCGTTTATCTTTGACCTACTCACTAGTCTTCTGATAGAAGTAACTGTCTAAGCTCTAAGCTCCATTTCCTCCTCCTATTATAAGTTAAACATTCACTGTGAGAAGGAAATGAGACAATATATTTGTTATTTAGTATGATAACTGTGTTTGCACTCAGCACATGTGTTTTGCTGTTACCATGTCATTTATATTTTTGTTATATTGACATGGGTATTTCCTCATAGCTCTTACCAGAAGAAAATAGTATAAAAACCTACAAAACAAAAATGCATTTGAAATTCCCTTTCATAGACATCCAATGTTCTTAGTCACATGACTGCTTTCCCTAAAACTACTGATAGTATGCTTCCTGGTCTTCAACTGAAGATTCCCTACATATTTCTCTTTATGTATTTTAAGGATAGCATTAAAGAAAAGCAAATGTTCTTAAAATATTTGGTTCCTTTTTAATAGACTTAATATCTATTCTCCATCACTATTTTGTCTCAAAACTTACAGCATGGAAAATTGCAGTCAAATTGATATTTGCTTCCTGGAATAAAATTGTGAGCAAAGGGTATCAGCATGTAATTCACCAAAGAGGAAATTTGACTAGAAATATGTGGATGGAGATTATGCTTCACTCTCAAATAAAGAAATGCAAATTTCAAAGAATGCCATCCTACTATTAAATTAGCAAAGGAAATGTTGATACAGATATAACAAAACCAGCAGTGACCCACATTGCCTTCTAGCACTGAAACTGACATGCTTTTGGGAAAGAAACTTATCACAATCTGGTCTTGTTAAGGAGACCTGCTCAGGTAGCCCTTGAGCCTATGCTGGCAATATGCAGAATGCAATGTCTCTGTGCACATATCTCTTCAATATGCTCTCATTTTGTTGGCATATTTAAATGCCTTCTCCTCATACATATTTTCTTCCTGGAGTCCCAATTCCTGCTTAGCAATTCATCCTGATAATTTCTTGGGATTATCTTAGATGATCAAAACACTTCTGTCTCTGAGACTTAGAGGGGAATGAAACCCCAAAATATGCATCTTTGAAATAAGGATTATTTTGGGTTAAGGTCATAGAGACCCAGAATAGGTAGTAAAAGCTCTCCAAATAGGCTTTTTTTTGGGGGGGGGGGGGGGTAAAGGAAATTTCCTTTACCAAAAAAGAAGAAAAAATCACTTAAGCCTTCATATGAATGCTTAATTACAACTCTTACATTCCATATTTTTCCTGGTCACCGTTCCATAACTTGCTTCCCCAACCTGGAAGTTGTAAATACCTCTTTTCCTTTAGCCTAAGCTGGTATGTAAGCCTAAATTACAAATACCCCTTTGAGTTACCCATTTCTGGGTATTCTATGTTACACTCCTAATACCCATGTTAACACACCTCTGCTTTTCTCTTATTAATCTGCCTTTGGCTATAGGGCTCAGCAGAGAACCTAGAAGAACAGAAGTTAAAAAAATGGTTTTTTTTTTTCCCCCTATCCTCTTCTTAGGCAACAAAGGTATGAATACAAAAAGACACCATCCTCACCCTTGAGCCCTGAGGACATAATCTAGTTGAGACCCTTCCTGTTTTGTGTGTCCATACATAACATAGGGCCCTGTGGGCTGAAGAGGAAATAAAATCATATTCACCCAACATCTCCTAAGTGTTGGAAACCTGCAGCTAATCACTTCCTTCTTGTAATTCCAATGAAATGAGGGCAGGGGAGAGGATGCAAGTGAAGATTGTAGCATTGGTGAAAAGAGCCTGGATGTCTACCGGGATGGGGATGGATGAGAGGGATTGTGAAGTGTTCACTCCTGGACCATTAATGAAATCATCCCAAATGAGTTTGCGGCAATCATGCAGGAGACAAAAGATGCTATCAGCGCTTATTAGATAAAAAAGAAGGGTCACAACCAAACTGTTAAATACATGGCTATGGACAAAGACTCTTCTTGACCTGGCTTGCTTCAATCAGGCCTCACCTTTACACTATAAAAACTGCATCCCCTCAACACAAGTGCTTTCATACCCCTATTTCTCCACCCCACACTAAAAGACCTGAACAAATACTAACTTAGTTTCCAACAGCTCAAGGCTGCATCCCTAGAATGACCATAGCCTCCCCTCTTCAAGTGCCTGATGAAAAACAAAGCAACATCAAACGCAAGGCCCACACCTGAAGATAATGCTGAGTTCCTATCTAAAACACTTACAGGAAGCTTTATGGTTATGAATGTCTCTTGCACCTCAGGAAGTATCTTTCACAAGCACCTACAAAACATTCCTTTGAAATATCCACATCAGGGTCTTCCTGGAAGCATGGTATCCTGATTTCAGTAATTGCCGGCCAGAAGACACCACTGCCCAACTGCAGGGACACACTGACCCACCTTGAGCACTTTGTCTCTTCCCTAGCTCTAAGCCCTCACTTGTCCCCCTTTCTGCTCTCATTCTCCCTTTAAAAGGCCAAGTCTCCTTGTATATACGGAATATGTGCACAATGGGCCCCCTTCCCCATCACTGTGGTACATTACTGATTAAAATCCATCCCTATTGCTGTCCCATGTGTCCAGACTTGTTTATCTTTGACGGGACTAGTTGCTAAGGAACTGAACCCCTCCATCACTGTGGCTGTTTAAGGTGCTTGGATTATACTCATTAGAAATCATTAGCAAAAGTGTTCTCTGAAAAGAACAAGCCCTGCCTATTCCCACGAATAAAAGTTTAACAAAACTTTGCCGGCAAGCAATTCTGATTTATGAATCCCACATTAAACCATCTAAGTACATCTGTTAGGCACATCATAATGGTGACTTTTTGGGTAATGATTTCTTAGAATCACAAGTGATGTATGAATTCTCAGCAATTTAAGCGTTTGAAGGGGCCTGAATGTGTCCTGAGTGATTGCCTATTATACTCAAATCCTAGTTTTATAGTATGGCCTTTGTTCCTTTGTTTCATGCCTCATAATCTGGAATCACAATCTTATGTGTGAGCAAAGCATTGCTACCCATAGGAGGAACATTTCAGCATGTATTAGATAGTCTCTTTCATTTGTGTGTTTTGCAATATATCTTAGAAGAGATTAAAACTACCTTTCAAAAGTGTGCAGGAAAAGAGTTTGCCTTTAACTTTTGGTGTCTATACATCCTGGTGTTAGAAGAATTGACTCTAGGACTGAGTCTCACATTTCTCATTCCTCTGACCCCCTTAACTTGGAGCTGCTTGAACATAGTATGCATTTGTTGAGTTCCATGGCTTTATTCTTTTTTTATTTCTTTCCCTCTTAGTTCTTTAACTATCTGATGAACCTTTCATGCCTTTTGAAATCCTGCTAGAGTCTGACCTTGTTGAGGGACAGCTCCAGTTCTGCCTCCTCTAGGTCCTCCCTCCAGCCTTGCTGTAGCATCCACCATAGCTGTGCAAATTCTTACATAGTTCTGGTGGTGGTTCTCGTTCCCGCATGGCACCAAACATTATTTCTGGCATAAAGTAGCAATTCAGTTGTTTGATGGGACAAGCTTTTTTTGCTACTAGAGATTAATTTATATTACAGATAAAAATCAAGAGCTAACTTCTATTTTTCTTCTGATATGTGCATATATACATACCTACGTGCATGCAAATGAAAGATGATATAAGTAAACTATAAAGTACTGAAGAAAAGTGAGTATAATTATAGGTTCCCTTTTCCCTCTGGACGGGGATGCTGAGGTGGGCTGTAGGAAGAGACGTGCAGACACATCACTTACATTTTGCAACTGGACGTGGCTTTTCACCAAGCTCTCTGATTTTGCCATTGTGCTGGATGCTTTAAGACTGTAGTTTTTACCATTTTGTGACTCCTTCAGCTGCTCTTGGATTTGTTTAGCTTGTTTCCTGCAGGTATAAATATGTGTTATCAGAATTTGCATACGTTTATGGAATCTTAAATTTTGATGTTCATTCATTCCCCATGTCTTTGACATTTGCCAAAGCTAGATGAGCTCAGTTAACAAAGACAGCCCTTCTCTTGTTTTCAACTCCACCAAGAAATACTTCCAATTCAGAGCAAACCTGATATTATGCATTATGATCCTGAGATTCATAAGCAATGGTGCTTAGGAACGTGATGTGTTGTCCTGGCCTCCATAAATGCAAGAGTTTCCTAATCCTCAGTGCTCACTTTTAAATAATTGGAAATACTATGGATAGGTGACTAAAGGAAAAATATGAGGCTTGACTCTGGAGGCCACATATTTTTGCTAAGATATATGTGTAGCCTATATGCATGGCTTGCATACAAAAATGTGTATATTTTCTGTCTTGTACATTTATTATTACCTACAGCCTAAATAATAGTTAATTTTTAAGGAAATAACTAATGATTTCATAGTACTGTGTCACACATTTTAACTACTTTACAGGTACCAGTTAATTCATTTTCCACAATAATTCTATGTGATGAGATGATAACATTATCTCCATTTAACAGATGGGTAAACAAAGGCACAAAGAAGTTAAATCATTTGCCCAGGGTCACAGAGAGTAGGTGGTAGAGCATAGCCTTCAACCAAACCACCATCAAGAGATTTACATATCCTCAGCTTCTAAGCAGGGATGCTGAGATTGCTGTAAGTTTTTGGACTCAGAAATAAAGTGATCCTGCATGTACATGTGGAGGGACTGTTGTTTGATTCATTCAGTATCTATTCCAGAGGAGTGGAACAAACTCTTGCCTGATTAGCTGCAATCTTCCAGAAGGTTCATAGCAATTATCTATTAGTGTCAGACTCAGTACCCATGAAAACAACTTTGCAGAATCATCTCCCTGATGTTTGCCTCTCCCCTGAGTTCTCTGTCAAGGAGACTGGTTGGAAGACAAATCTTACCATGAGTGTCTCCGTTCTGCTACTACAGGGACTGGGATCTGAACCTGAGCTCTTATCCACCAGCTTGCCACCCTAATAATTCTCTAAATGTCTCTGAGCTTCCCTTTCTTCATGTGCAACTGGAGTTCATAAGAACTACCTTTTCTTCCATGTATATGGTGGCAGCTGAATGTGAGAGGGTATACAAAGTGTTCATATCTTTTCCTTTTCATTGTGCAGTTAGCTTAGTCTTGGGGGCAGATGCTGTGGAGGAATGAGAACATTGCCCAGAGATAAAATATTGTACTAATTGAATCTCTCACAAGTAAGTCACTGATATTTTCTAAAGAATTTGGAGGTTATGAGCATCATTTACCCTTTTGAATTTACACTGCCAATGTGTTGGTAGCTGTTTGTTTACATTTTTATCTTTAAAATTATTTGGGGGACTTTTATCTCCAACACTCCTGGTTGCTTTAATCCAGCTGTAATAATCTGTCTGCAGACCAACAGCCAATCTGCAGCCTATTGTTTAAAATGAGCTTATAATATGAGCATTTAAGAAGCACATTGTGGCCACAAAATCCTCTCAGGGATTCATTCAAGAAGAATACAGAAAATCTGGAAGTGCCAGCCCAGTAAATCACCAAGCAGCAGTAAAAGCCTGGTTGTCATAAAGCAAGGACTCAGTGTCTCTACTGTCTTAATTCTTAGGAGAGTACCTATCTTTTCAGTAATCCCCTGACTCAGAGCCTGATATAAAAAACCCCGCCGTATTTCATGGATCTTTCTACAATGTGCCTTCCTTTACCACCTTCTCACTCAGGTGCCGACTGAGCAATTTTCCAGGATACGTGTTCTTTTATTTCAGAGCCAGCATCTCCTCCCACCCCCAATTCCTCTCCACTCAAAAACACATACTTGATTTTTTTCCCCCTCTCTTTCATCTTCCCTTCAGAAAATGGGAATAGAGGAAATGAGCAGCAGCTGAGAGCAATACCAACAGCTCTCTCATGACAATAGTTGCTCTGGGAAAGGGGAGGTATTTGTGCCTTGTATTCTGGAATGCCAATAGCCCAGCCAGATCAGTATTGAGACTTTGCTAAGTTTCTCTAAACTAATGCATTAGAAAGAGATGAAACACGTGTTGGGGAACAGAAGACATCACAAGCCTATTGATAGACATTATTTGCAATGTCATGGCTAAATTCCTAAGGAAGCAGACCCTGGAGTGGAGACAGTATGTAGGACTCTGAAAAGGAGGATCTTTGGTATGTGCAGCTGTGAAAGTGAAAAAGGGGGAAGAAGACAGGATGGGGCAAGGGAGAAGCTAGAATGCGATGCAGTCTCCATGGAAACCTTAGCCAACCCCCTAGGGAGATCTGGAGTTGACTTGGTCTTACACCCCCAATTTGAAGAAAAGGTGTGGTCTTGTGAGCCCTACACTGATGTGTCATCAGAGGTGGGTTATCTCAGAACAAGGCATGTGACCCAGAAAGGCAGCTCAGGGTCTGATGTCAAACAGCATATCAGAGCGTCCTTATGATGCAAAATCTCTTACTGAATAGGTGATAAGCTATAGGAAGAGGCATGTTGCTACTGGTAATACCTTTCCTAATTTTTCCTATTGTTTTCCCAGTTTTGATTACCATCCATTTCAGGTTTTGCTGTCAGGAACCTTTTCTCTCCTACCCCAAATTTAAGTTAGTAATTTCCAAATTCTACTAAAAACTCCTATACCTGATTTCATCCTTCTTACCTAAGTAAGCTGAAGAGAAAACCATTAAGAATTGATAGTTTCCATCTGAACCATATTGGCCATACTTAAACTAATTAATATTTGCATTAAATACATATGGGCTCACTAGATGTAATGAGAATTCTTTCTACTCTTTTGGCATTGTGGCATTTGATTAATTCCATCAGAAAAATCCTCCAAATCCAAGAAGACATGCTTCATTTCTAGCTCATCATGTTAGCTACCTTCAAAGTTTCAGACATGTTGCTGTAATATTTCTTTTGATAGGGCTGTGCTATGCCACATAATGAGGACAAGAGTGGCAAAATCTGAGTGCTAATGCAAGGTATAGCATAAACAACTCTGAGAATGAGCTTTGTGGTAAGTCCCAACTCTCACTGGCCAGGATGCTACATCCCAGTTTACCAATGGACTTATTTGGGTACCAGTGATAGGCCACTGAATACTGGAATACTTGTGGGCCATAACCTGGAGTCAAAAGAAAGTATCACATGTAAATAACCATATTTTATGCATGAAAGCAAGGGCTGATCAAGTCGGTGGGTGCCTATTCTGTTTTACCAAAACATTCCGAAATGTAAACACAAATCCAAGAATTCACAAAAGACGCTTTTGCCAGGGTTTTACAAAAATCAATATTGTTTTCAGTAGTGTGTACTAAGTGGTTGGGGTGGGGCAAGGCATTTCTGTCAAAAATAAAGGAAGACTATGCCAGAAATTATAAGAGAAGGAAATATAAACTCTAGGTCTCTAATGAGAAATGGCATTCCAGTTGGAAAGGCATCACTATTATCATTATATTTTTTCAAAAAACATGTCCTGGGGTGAGCAGAGAGAAGGGAAATATTCCAATGAGTACTCCTCCCCCCGCTTGGTCCTCTGAGATTCCCATGAAGAACCTGGCATTGAATGGTGTTTCCAACAAATTCCCTGAACCCTCGCTGAGCCCAAGGAACAGATGATGGTCTCAGAGCCTACTGGAGGCCCAGAGATTGAGACTGACAGCCCTAAAGACAGAAGTTCTTTAGTTATCCAGCTGTTCTCCATTCTTGTGATTACCATAATCAGTCTTTTACTTAAATGTGGTACAACTACAAATTATACTCTAAAAATAAGTGATTAACTGCTTCTTCATAGTAATTTGCTTATTGTTAAATACACTATTTCTTGCTCATCTGCAGTTCTTACTAGGAGACCCTTCTAACACTCTGCTGGGTGTGATTATCCTTCACATCCTCTGGTGTATGCTCTTAACTTTGTAGCAACATAGTCTTTAAGTCTTGAAGTGGAAAACTATAGGTGTTAAAAATACCGAGCCGTTGTGGAGTATTTAATTTTTCAAACACTGTGCTGTGACCTGTATAGCATTATCCCATTCAGTCTTTAATGTGATTCTGTAAGGTAGATGTTGTTTTGGTGCATATTTCACCTAAAAGGAAACTGAGGCTAAGAAACTCCCACTGTGGCTGATTGGTGTAAAATCCTGACCACTACAGCCTTGTGACCTCCCTAAAGTGCTAGAGGCTCCACCAGAGAGGGAAATCCTAAGTTGCTCTGAAGAGTTTCATCATTTGGAGGACTTTATGAGCCAATATGGCACAGTAGTTTAAAATAGGTTTTGTCAATTACACTTGCTGAGATTCAGAGCCCTGTATCTGCAGTTTTCTACCTTGCTGATTTGAAAAGTTGATATTTCAAAATAAATTTTCATATTATCTGCAATATTGGATTTGAAATATCTCCCAAAAGCTTACGGAGTAAAGGGTTGTCTCCTAACTGATGCTATTAGGAGAGGTGGGGCCTTGTGGAAGGTCTTATGGTCATTGATGCAATGCCCTCAGAGAGGAGAGTGGGACTCCACTCCTTCCTCTTTTTCTCTTTTCCAACGTTCAGCTATAAGTGAAACAGACCTCCTCTGCCACATGTTCCTACCATGATGTATTGCCTCAGGACCAAAAGCAGTGATGGGTAATTTAATCATGGATTGTAATCTACAAAACTGTGAGCCAAAAAATTGTTTCCTCTTCATAAGGTAATTCTATCAGGTATTTTGTTATAGTAATGAAAAGCTGACTAATACTGTATTTTCCAGGTCGATAAAATGCACCACTCAGATTGTTTTGACAACTGGGATATAAAGTGTGAAAAGCTCAGTGTGCCTGACAAAGAGTTCTAACTTTCCAGTTCGGGAAGTTATAATTGTCATAGCCATCATATTTCTTTGGCACATCTTGGCTAATAAAATATAGTGTTCTGGATGAGGCCATGGAATAAGGAAAAAGATACTAGGTAAACAAGCAAAAACCTACAGATATCTGAAAGTATGGACTTTCTATCAATATTATTCCATAAATTATGACAGATGAACCATATATTAATAATACAGGAAACTGGGTCTAGGCTGTATAGGAATTCTGTGTACTATTTTTATAGCAATCCTGAAATAATTTTAAAATAATCTTTACTGAGTTTGTCATTTATTTTTAAGGGGTAATTATTTTGTTTTTAATTAACATACACAACATGCAGACAGGTATTATATATTTTATCTGGAAACTGATTCATTTTTAGAAGAGCAAATGGTTTGAAAAATATAGTTCCTATGAAAAGCAATTTCATGTTGGCTTAGATTCCAGACAAGCTGTAGGAGTAAAATCTGAGCCAACTTTTAAGGCTCAAGAATTGAAAAGGCTAATGTTTTTATCTGCATTTCTTATTTAGGGAAATGATGTAATCTGAACTTAAAATAACTATCAGAGTTAATTTGGAAAAAAAAATACATACACAAACACTTTTGTGTGTATATGGTTGTATTTTATTCTCCTTTATTAGTCAAAAGTAAGAACCTTCATTTGCCAAAGGTCAAGTTTCTTGGCAAATGAACTTTAGGGCAAATTCAACATATGTATGTCAACTGGTGAGCTAATACATTTTTTTAGGATTCTTCATATTTGCCTAAAACCTTTTTGAGTATCAGGTAAAAATAGCAGGAGAGATTTTTTTTCTGTAGTTTCTTTCAGGAAAGGCTAGGTAATGGTTGATAATGTTTAGTGTCACAGCAGTAACTCCCCTGTTTCAAAGTCAGTACTTTAGTGACAGGCAGACACTAAGCCTTTAATGCAGGCAGGTAATCAACTAGTACAAATGATTGCTATGTGCAAAGATAACACCCACTCCCCATACAGACATACACACCCAGTTCACATGCTCCCTGCAGTCTACTAAGAGGTCTGAGTCATTTGCAGATGGTTAATGAACCCATTTGCACAGGATCCCTCTGCTTGGAGCAGAGACTGAGAACATAAAGAAAGATAAAAGTTTATTTCTCAGAGCACTTTAACACTTGAGAGAAATGGTCTTACTTGCTTTTGAAGTAGAATGCTGCACAGAACATGCCCACGATGACAATTCCAAAGATGATACATGAAATTGACAGCACCTGCCTTTGATAAACTTCTTCACTCTCTGTGAATGTGAAAAACAGAATTAGAATGGATGCTAGCAGGGCACAGCAGCTACAATCTCCATCTTTGTCCTCCCAAACTGGTAAGATACTTTGAAAGCCAACGTTTTTGTTCCTGTCATGAATAGGAAAAAACATGAAGAAGTTATTTTGATTCAATTTCTTTGCCAAGTTCTATAGGATAAATGGTTGCTATTTTTTTCTTTTCCTGCATCTACATGGCTAAATCATAACTCATACATCGATATCAGAATCATAAATTTCATTATCAAAAGACATTCCATGGCTTTAGGACATATGATTTTGAAACTGTGGTAGGGTCCATAATAATGAGCTGGAAAAATAAATATATATCCATCTGAACTTTCCTGTGCCCCTGTTGGCTTCCAAGATGCTGATGTCCCTGGATGGTTTTCTGAGTCTGATTGGTTCTTGGCTGTCTGCCTCCCATTCATCTTTCTGTTACTATGATTGACATCACTCAGGAAATAGAATTTCCATATGCAAGCAAGTAGTATATCATGCACTCTGTGACCTCATCAATACCAGTGTTCTAGCACAATACAACTCAGCCTCTGTTACCTAGGTTGTAGCTTGTCATCACACAAAAAATGAAAATTTAAAAACAAAACATTTTACTTTGCAGCCACAATTATTTTATACTCCCAGATTCATTTCAAAATTATATCTAGTGAAATAGTTCTTCCATCTCACCAAGAGTTTTGGGTCCATGCAGACCCCAGCACTATTCAAACATCAGATACATCCTTCTTTCCATGCTCACATTGTCTGTACATGTCATAAGAAAAATGAGGCCAGTATAGAAGAGATACTCCACCTTTCTAACACAAAATTAACTGCATATGTACCCATTTCTCTCTCTGAACATAAAATACTAGTTCTCCTTGAATTATTCAAGCTCTCAACTTTGAAGACTGAATTCTCAGAATATGGACCATCTATGTCAGAATCACAGAGGGAGATTTGTATTTTGTTACTAACAAAAACTATGGCATTCATCTTTGACCTTGTAATATGGAAATCATTTAAGTGAACATTTGAGGTGTTTCTCCTTCATATTAAAGTTATTCAGGTACAGCACATGCCTTATTTTTAGGAAAGGGATATATTCAAATTATGATGTCATCATTGTGATGCAAAATTCTTAACAAAAATTTAGGAAATAAAATACAGCAAGATATTAAAAAGTTTAGTCCTTCACAACTAACTAGAGTTTATTTAAAGAATACAAGTTGTTTCCGTATTTTAAAATTATTATTTTTTTACCATTTAATAGGTTAAAATTTATTAGTATGGAAGTTTATGAAAAACTTTAATAAAAATCTTATTTCTGATTTAAGTTCAAATACTAGACATAGAAGGCACTCAGCATGATAAAGAGCTTTTAAAATATACATAATTGTGAAAACTGGACATTCTATTCCTAAGAGCAGGGACAAAGAATAGTACACCCTTGAAAAGAAGTTGGAAGGGTGGATAGTTAGTCAAAGCAATAAGAAAAGTAGAATTAAATCATTTCGATTGGGAAAGTTTGATGATCCTGTTGTTTGTAAAGACCTTTTTTTTCATCTATGCAGATGGAATCTACAGAAGTGTTAGGAAGCTAACTGATTACAAGGTTTCAGGATTAAAACATTAAAGTCATATCTGTTTAATAGTGACAAGTTAGAAATTGAAACAAAACTATCACACTAGAATTCAAACTTAAAATACATAGTGATAAATTTGATAAAAACATACACAAGTCCTATTAGCTAAAAGATTTGAAATATTACTCAGGGAATTAAAAAAAAAAAAACCCTAAACAGTCATGTTAATGGACTAAAAGACTCAATTCATCACCTTGGAGAAAAGTGATATCTTGAGTACAATCCTATTAAAAAATCTCAGAAGGCATTTTGTCATTGTCATTCAAATTGTCCAGCTGATTCTAAATATTATATAGAAATAAAGAATTATGGTGGTTGAAACAGCTTTTCTGAAATCAAGAGAACAAAGTTATAGTACTTTAGTCCAAGAATTATGATAAAGCTATGTAATCAAAGCAATACGATATTGTCATAATTCTAGACAAAACAGACAAGAGAGTCCAGAAATTATTCAAACATACATAGATTATTTTTTGCGACTTTTGACAAAAGTCATTTTTTATAGTGAAAGGATATTTTTAAAATGTTACATTATAATAGTAGAGCTATAGTCACAAAAATGGACATTAACCCTAATCTCACACAAATATAAACTCAATGAAAAACAAACCTAAATTTTAACAATGAAATCAGAACTATAGGAGGGACTCTTAGTAATTTGGATTCAGAAATAATTTCTTACCTAAAACACAAAAGACAAAGAATGATATGTTTATAAATGAATGGTGTGGACTTCAACATCATTTACATTTGTTCTTCAAAGATTTCATTAACATGCAGGGCACAGTCTGAGAAAAATATTTGCAAAATACTTTGCCAACAATAGAGCTGTATCTATAAAAATCTCTTACTACTCAATAAGATGATGATGATAAGCAACCCAGTTTAAAGGCGAGAAAAAAATTTCAATATTTAACATGTTTTTATGTCCTTTGGACCAAATATGGCAAAAGCTATGGGGAATAATAAATAAGACAAACCTCTCTAAATGCACAGCACTTACCTACATAAGGACACAATTGCAATATTATAGGAAAAGGATGAGAGTAACTTCAGGTCAGAAGACAAAAAAATGAGAAGATCTGAATAGACATTTTCCCAAAGATATAGGGATAGCAAATAAGTACCTAAAATGAAACCCAAAGTAGTAATTATGGAGTTTCAAATTAAATAATATTGTTATAGATGAAATCACTACTAAAACAGCTGATATAAAAGGCTCATCACAGTGTTGACAAGGATATGGAACAATGAGCACTCTAGAGCATTCCTGTACTTTTGATGGAAATGTAAAATGATGTACCAATTTAAAAAATAGCTCCTCAGAAAATTACACACCTACCTTATGATTTAGTCACTGCATTCCTAGGTATTTAATGTTAATAATTTCATAATTATTAATGTTTTAGTTCATTATTATATTAATAAGCATAATTACACATCCAAATATTCATAATAACTTTAATAGCCAAAAACTGGAAATAAGCCAAGTTCCTATTAACAGAGTAGTGAATTAATAAATTGTAGTATATCCATACAATGGAAAATAGCTAAGCAATAAAAAGAAACATTGATATAAGCAACAATATAGATGAAGCTCAGAATTATTATGATGAATGAAATTAATCAGGAAAAACAAGCCCATGTTGGATAAATCCAATTACACAAAATTTTAGAAAGTGGCAACTACTCTATGAACAAAGTATGAATGTGATATCTGGGGTCAGGTGTGGGGAAGAGATAACAGTGACATGAGGAAGTTTTGCAGACTCACACTTACAGTTCAGTGTCTTAATTACAGTGTTCATCTCATAGGTTAATGGTTATGCCAGATTGTACCAAATGACACAAGCAATGTGAACTTTTTAATAAATTAAAATCATGTATATATACATATACACATATTTATTCATGAATGTGTATTCTATTTTTTTCAAGACTGGTATTGGCTCCTTATTAGACTGACAATACTATCCCAAACCTTTTACACTATCTAAAAAGACTTCAGTATGATACCACCTACCTTTTTTTTCCTGACATGTCTAATATTTTAACTCCTTTCAGTCATGATACATGCAGTTTTATTTTTCCTTCTGGAATATTATTCTCTTCTAAATGCCACTACTCCTTTGACCCCACATTAAATGTCGTTAGCCCCTAAATTAGTGCACTATATAGTAAGCTCCACTGGTTCAGGGGACTGCATTTTTCACTGATTAATTAAATGGCTCACCACTGTTTTCCCAGCACCTTGTACCAAAGTCACATCACTGGCATGCTAAAACTTGTTACCCGAGTAAATCAGATATTTAACATCCTCACAGGGATTCTCAGATTAAAGTAGGGTGAGAGTTGATGTAACTCAAGCTAAATGTTTAAGAGTTAGAATCGTTGCCTTTACCACCAAGTCCTCTAAGGCTGCACACAAAACCTCTTTTCTGAATTGAGCACCTGCCACTGACTCCACCCATTTTAAAATCCAGCCCAGGTTCCTCCTTTGGGGGATCCTTTCCATCCAACCTTGGCCTTTTCACTGTGACTCTATGCTCCCAAAGTCCTCTTCACAGGACAAAGCTCCATTAAAAAAATGGTGAAATCATTTGTCTGCAGGCTTCAGTAGATACTGGAGCATGATATACCGAAAGCAGTTATTCTCACTGTTCATGTTCATCTTGGATGGGCATACTGCTCTCAATATCCTGCATGCCCGCACTGATGTGCTTGGAAGTTTTGTTTTGGCCTTGTTTTATTTAGTGCTGATTCCAATCCACAGCTAACAAAAAACAAGTTGTAGGTTGACTCATGGACACAGAATTCCCCACACCAGGACTTTCAGAGGTTCTTCCAAGATGTACCCAGAAGCTTCCAGAGTCAGTAGAAAAGAGCCAATTATTTGTGATGTTCCTCTACCAGCAAACTGGACTGCAGAAAGTCATTGGGAATTAGGCAAATGGGTACCAGACCTAGAAAACCTGGATCAAAATCTACATGTACACAGCTCAAATTCCAGGACCTGTTTTCTTTCTCTGAAACCTGGTACTATAGCCTCTCTTTAAATAAGATTGCACATTTTCTAGTACTTTATCCTGTTGAAATGTATTGCAATCTAGTGTTTTAGAAATGTTCTCTCAGGTTTACTTTATGTTTTCTGATATTACAGCCTGAATAAATACTCAGAAATGTGGATAATGCCTTATTTCTATTAGGCTTTATTTCCATGTTCAGTGTAAGAAGAGAGGCAATCATGGGGCCACAGCAATAATGAGTGAATATTTTAAATTTGGAAAGGTTCACATCAGAAGGTTACAAAATATATCATCAAGTCCTTGTTT